TGTTAGACAATTATATCATACTGCCGAAAAAAAAATGGTTAAAATGAAATACTAGTTTATTTCTTATCATTTTTTTTTTTTAAAAAAAAATAACTAATCATAGTTTGGAACGGCTAACTCAGGTTTATCATATCCTAATTCTTCAGGAGTGTTAATGCCGAGTTCATCTAATGTAGGTCTAATCTCTTGCAAAATGTATGGATATATTGCTTTGTCAACTTCGCTTTTTATTTTAATAACTTCGAGCCATCTTACAGTTAATGCAAAATCGTTGACTCTTCTGCATGCTTTGAGCGAGGCAATTATAATTTTCGGCTCGGGTATTAAATCGTATTTATTCAAATCGTTTAATGCTTTTCTCAGTTCCCAACCGTCAATATCTTGCCTATTGAAATATGCTTCATATCGACAATCGAATTCTTCATCAGTTTCTTTACTATGATGCGACATCAATCGAGTCTGAGAGGTTTTAACACTCTTATTTAAGGCGTTTCCTGTAGCACTAAAAACTCTGTTAACGGTCGCTCGCAACATTTTTTCACTCGTTTCTGTATTTTTCTAGAAAAAAAAAAATTTGATCTAAATGCAGAAGAAAAAGTAATATTAGTTTTTTTTTCAACGTAAGGCGTACCAACCTAATTAAAAGATTTTTGTTAATTAAAAATTTCCTTTCACATTTTCCTTTTACTCATAATAGGTAGTGGCAATATATACAAGTTCTACGTGAATTAAATAACTTGTAGTATGGTGAATTTATTTTACCATTTCACTTAAGCTCTTATTCTATCCTTTAATTTGTTTTAATATTATTATATTGTTTTTCATATTAACTCAAAGCAATTTTTTTTAATTGTTTTTTTTTTTTTTTTTATAAAAATGGAACATCGAACAAGAAAAAGAATTCGTGAAGTAAAAAAAAAGCAAGACCAGGTAACCGGTTGTGATGTTTTTTTTTTTTTTTTTGAAAGAGTTTGATATTTTTATTTAATCTTTTATTTCCTTTTTTTTTTTTTTTTCTTGATAAAATCTACTAATTTAACTCCAAATATAAAAATAACCTTTTTACAATTTTAATTGTTTTGTGCTCTTAAAAAGTTTTACGAATTACATTATTTAACTACTTCGTTGAATTTTGTAATGAAATTTAAAATTTCTTTTAGAATTATGTGAAAAAGGTTCTTGGGAAAGTCTTCAAATATTTAAAAAATTCAATGAATTTACTAACGTTGAAGATAATTGTGAGAGGATAAACGTATCAGATGTTTCTCCCCAAGATTTTATAGAAAAATATGAAAAATGGTATAAACCTGTAGTTATCTGCGGTTTGCAAGAAAATTGGAAAGCAAAACATAAGTGGAATTTAGAGGTAAAAAGGGACATGCACAGTAAATTCTAGAAATTTAAAGTTCATCTATATTAATTTAAATTTTTTTTTTCCAACTTTAGAGTTTGGGGAAAAAGTATAGAAATCAAAAATTTAAATGTGGAGAAGATAATGAAGGCTATAGTGTAAAAATGAAACTTAAGTATTATATTGAATACATGAAAACTACATTAGATGATAGTCCATTGTATATTTTCGATAGTAGCTTTGGTGAAGTAAGTTGATTTTTTTTTAGTATTTATAAGTATTTATTTTACACAATAAATTATAGTAATATAAGTCAATTTCTGTACTGTCAAGCATGCTAGAAGAAAGAAACTTTTGGATGATTATGAAGTGCCTATTTACTTTAGAGATGATTTATTACACCATGCTGGTGAAGAACGACGACCCCCTTATCGATGGTTCGTAATGGGACCAGCTCGTTCGGGAACGGGGATACACATAGATCCTTTGGGAACAAGTGCATGGAATGCACTAGTCGTAGGATACAAAAGGTATGTTATACTTTTTTATATGTTAATTAATAATAATAAAAAATATGTAATATTGTAATGTCTAACAAATTTTTTTTGAATTTTTTTTTTTTTTTGGTAGGTGGTGCCTATTTCCTACTCATACACCTCGTGAGTTAATTAAAGTAACAGGCATTGAAGGAGGAAAACAAAGAGATGAAGCTATTACATGGTTTTCTGTAATTTATCCTAGAACAAAACTACCTGATTGGCCTCAAGATTGTAAACCGGTATCAGTTTATTAAATTTAATGAATGTTACAATGAATGTCGATTACACTGAATGCCATGATAAAAACATCGTAAACTTTTATGCTTTTTTTTTAGCTTGAAATTTTACAAAAACCTGGTGAAACAGTATTTGTTCCTGGTGGATGGTGGCATGTAGTATTAAATTTAGAAAATACAATTGCAGTTACTCATAATTTTTGTAGCAGAACCAATTTTCCCGTCGTGTGGCATAAGACAATGAGAGGACGTCCGAAATTATCAAAAAAATGGTATCGACGCCTTAAGGTAAATTTAAACCTTTTTCCAGTACTATTTTTATTAAATGTCGAATGAAAGCTTTTAGCTTTAAAACATTGCATTTATTCAAAGTTTGAAAAAAGGTTTCACATTTTGAAATGAACGGTAATTCAAAAAAAATTTTTTTAATTACAGGAAATAGATCCAACATTAGCTGAAATAGCCGACAGCGTAGATCCTACTCGTTCGACTGGTATCGCCTCAGATTCATCTTCTTGCTCTACTTCAAGCTCAAGTAGTGATTCTAGTGACACGTCATCAAGTGAAGATAGTGGACAAGGATCTCTATCAGCTCATAAAAAGAAAAAAAGGTAACAAAAAAAAAAACTATTTAAAATATTTATATACATAACTTACTTACTTATTTATTGATTTATTTTTTTTGTTTTTTCAGACTAAAAAGACAAGAAAGTAATGCAAATGTAAATCAATGATATTTATGTGAAGTAGTTACTCAAAAATTACATGGGAATTTTAATTTACTTGAAAATTTAGAATTACTTGAAATTTAAAGAAGAAGAAAAAAAAATGTCCAAGATTGAATTGTTTTAGTTTATTAAGGAACTTTCTTTATATTAATTTCTGGTCTTACTACATACATATATTAAACAAATCTGAATTAAAATTTTACACAAAGATTACTTACACACCTCTAAAAAGAATTCATTTTTATTTTTGAGACTGTTTACCTTTTTGATTTATTAAATTAATATTTTTTGTTCGGGTAATAATAATAATAATAATAATAATTATAGATCAAACATTAAGACTGAACTTACAGTTAATTTTACTTTAAGAGGATAATAATTTTAATTTTTGAAAAATAAAAACCTTAATAAATGAAAAACAATTACACTAATTATCATGACTGAACAATTTTTTTACCAATTGAAATTTTAATATTTAAATATCTTATGGAAAAATGAAATTTTTTAATTGTAAAATGATGACTTTAACGACGATAATAAAAGTATTTTAAAAATTACATGAAATGTTTGTTGAACCAAAGGTAATTAAGGTATACACTATTATTATAACAATTATCAAAAGGTGTTCGATAATTTTTTAAAAGTAAATATGTTATTATTCGAGTATTATTATTATTTTTTTTTTTTTTGTAATATTTATTTGAAAAACGTGTGTTAATTATTACTATGAAATAATAAATATATATATTAATATAAAGATGAATTATAAAACAGGGTTTATAATTTTGAATAATGATTAGATAATTTACAATGGGTAGTAAAATAGTAATAATAATAATAATAAGTTTTTTCAATTTTTTATGTTGTTTTTTTTTTTTTTTTAATAAATTTCAATTACTTATTTAAATTAATACGACATAAAATATCGGTTAATTTTGTAATGGCGTAAAGTTAAACATTATTAAACGGAAATTGGATGAATACAACAAATTTTTATTTTACATAACTTTTTTTTTTAGGTAATAATAATTGAATCTGATAAATTGTATTTTGTATTAATATTTTTATAATGTTTTCAAACCATAAAATATTTTTTTTTAAAAAAAAAAATACTTTAACTTTATTAAAACATTCAAGATATGAGCGTTGATTTTTTTTTTCATAACCCTCATTTGCGTTTTTTAATATAATTTAGGCGTTTAAAAAATTAAATTAAATATAAATTAAGTATTTATATTTATTTTTCCCGTTTTTAATGTTAAATTACTGTCGTAGTTTACATAAAAATCAAAAATGTCAGTTAAAATTGTTAGGCGGTTTTTTTTTTTTTATTACCGTTGCTTTTTAAAAATCATTAATGACTTTCATAAAACCTTTTTTTTGTTGTTTGTAAAATTTATGAAAAATTTTTTTTTTACGATGCGTAATATAAATTTGGCAACACTGTTGAAATACTTGGCGGGAAAATTATAAAGGAAATTTTTATTAGAACAATTATAATTGTGATTTTGTCCTAACGTTTAATTTTGTTTGAACCTTTAATGTTGCATTTTATCTACTAAAAATAATATAAAGTTTTTTTATAATCGGAGTTAAAAAGGGCTTTAAAAATGAGTGAAGGTAGTTATTTTCCTGATTATTTTTCTATTGAAGATATTATGGTTACTCAAGAAAAAGTTCCGTGTGTAACTGTTGTACCATTTTCATTGACAGGTAAATCTCACTGTGTTCAGGAGTGTATTCAAATATTTTAAATTTTTTCTAATTTTTTTTATATCTTTGTTTGAATAATTATTATAATTGTGGTCATTCATTTTATTCATCATTGATGTTTCTATAAATTTTACCAAATTCTGGATTCAGGCACTAGTTTTAGTCGGCATGTCATTAAATATGTATTAATTCTGTTAAGGTTTTTCTATTGAAGAAAATGATGATAAGCACATTGATGAAAATGTAACAATAAACGTTCCTTTGTGGCTGGCTAAAAAACTATGCAGTCGACAAATTAAATATTTAAAAGTAGAAGTACCTGAAATGTTCAAACAGCATAACATAGATGCATATGAAGCTGATCCAAGGATTATCGATTTATACAGAATCAATCCTTATTTTTTCGAATATGGCATGATTTATTCGCAAATACCCCATAAATTTGGAACAAAAATTAGAGAAATTCTTCAAAAGGTTTTTTTAATATATTTATTTTTATTAAAATTTATACATTTAAGAAATATATATAAACATTTTTTTGTTTTCAGATGGGCAAGGAAAGATTTAAAAAAATATTAAATTGGGTCATGCACGAAATGAAAGATCCTTGGAAAATGCAAGAGTTGGATTTATCAGAGCAAAGAATTTTGAAAAATGGACTTAAAGGAATGGATATGCTTAATGAATGGCTACATCAAACTCAGTTAAAAATAAAACCGTCAGATGTGGTAACTCGATTAAATAGGAGTAAAGCACTTGATAGCATTTAATACATAATTACATAATTTAATTTTCTATTTTGCAATCGGACTATTAACATGGATTACTTTATTTTTTGTAAATGGTTTTTTTATCACTGTTGAATAACTTAATTAACTTGTAATTAGTAAATTTTATGTAAGTATTTATTTATATAAATCTATTAAGTTAAAATAATTTTTGTGTTGAATTTATTTATTTCCAAGACCCCCACACAAACTGGTTCAAAACTGAACTAATTAGTTAAATTTTTTCAGGAATAAGTTTTATAAGGAATAGCAAATATTTAATGCGATAAACTAATATATATATATTTTATTTTCTAAGGTCACTTAATATTCCGTGCACGTGCACTTAAAATTTTCACAATTTAACTCCTTAAATATTTTTTTAAAAAAAAATTTATGAGCATTTAAAGTGTAATTACATTATAATAATAATAATTGAGCAACTTATTACTACATTTTATTGACAATAATAATAATAATAATAATAAAAAATAAACCATTATAATATATATAAATTCAATATTGCCACAACCGGCCAAAATATCATTATTATTTATATTATTTACAATATGTACTAAAAATATTAAGCAATGAATATTTAATTTAAATATAATTTAAATTTCAATCATTGCCTGGATATAAAAATATTAAAAAAATAAGTATTGGTAAAAATTTAATATTTGAATAATTTTTTTTTTTCTCTTATAATATTTTTTTAAAAAAAAAAAAAACTTTTTTTTTTGCAGTTTGAAATGAAATACAAAAATTAAAAAATAATTAATAATTTGTCGGATCAGCATCCAATACGGGTTCCTGTTTGAAACCATTTGTCCTGTATGTGTCGTTATCTACTGTAAGGTGGGTCAGGTCCCGCATTATACCTCCAGAAGCTTGAATATTTCCATTGACTATTGGTGGACTGTGAAGGTGATCATTTGTGTGTATATGATCTTGGGGACTGTCACATTGAGCCATTGTCGGTGGACTCAACGGACTCGTTGGTGAGCCAGAGCTTTGATAGCTTCCAGCCGTACCTCCTGGAGTTTGTTGTATATCAGCAGATGCACCTGTAATTAAAACCCCCTCTTTTTTTTCAATGTTAAAAGTCATTACGTATATTTTATCGGAGGCGAAAACGCAAAATCGATAATATAGAAAAAAAAAAAGAAATTATATAAGAAAAAAATTTTTTTTTTTTTTTTTAGTTCGAAAGATGTTTACCTCCGAGGAGCATTTCTTGCAATAAATTATCAATTCTGGCAACACCAAACAATTTAGCAAATTGTATTTGTTCTATCATTTGCCAAGTTATAGATTGAAGAGCTGGCAATATGAGTAAAATTTCTCCAAATCTTCCTCTTGTATCATATTGACGATCGCTTATGTAATCTTCTAGATTTATTTGTATTTGATATCTCAAATGTTTTATACGTGTTGTGTCGCTAAGTCCTTTGGCATCTACATTCGATAGCCGCACAAAAAAAAATGAAGAACGTTTTAAAAAACATTTAAAAGAAAAGAAAAAAAGTTAAACAACTCTCCATACTTACTCGGATCGAAAAAAACGATAGCTTTAAGGCATGCAAATTCCGTGTCGTCGATCTGTACTTCGGTTAGAGGTTTAACTAATTCATCCATGACTCTGATACCGACTCTACTGATATCAACATCAGGAGATCTAGCATTTTCTACAAAAGAAAAATAAAAAAGAATAATTATTCATTTGATTAAAAATCAATGGGATTTAAATAGGAAGAAAATGAGCATACCTGAACAATATCTCGTTATTATACAATTGTTTCCTAAAAGAAGAATATCTTTTAAATGAAGGGATCGACGTGCCAAACCGAGTAGTAAATGTTCTCCAGCATGAGCTCGAAGTAATGCAACCTGATCATCTAAATGCAATTCGGTAAATGCTGGAATATATTTGGCCCATTCGACGAGAATGAGTAATTGCTGCCTCATCGATTCACATATATCATTTATATGTGCGATTTGTTTATTTGATAAATCATAATCGTTTACTGGAGATCCATTTTGCTAACAAAAAAGAATAATCATTTGTTCTTATAGTACGCCAATTTAATATGTTATAATTAAAATATATTTTCTCTCTCTCTCTCTCTCTCTCAAGGGTGGTTTTTAATTATTTTTTACATACCTCCAAATATGCTCCGACTTGTCTTGATAACATTTCGGCATTAAGAAGTGAAGTAACGGATAAACCATTATTTTGATTTGTTTCATCGTAACTTGGACGTCTGCAACTTATTCTATCACGTTCATTTTGTACTGCTGTAAATTTCAAAACAAAAAACAATTTTAATTATTATTATTATTATACATGAATGGTGCTACTCTAAAGCCACTTTTTGCCACCATAATTTTAATAAAAGTTTGTCTTCGCATGTTATTAAACCTAATTCATCATGCAATCATGTATATATCAATTATAAATATAAACATATAAATATATACAAGTGTTTTTTTTTTTTTTTTTCTACATTTCATTACTGACGTGTGTGTTTGTGTGTATAACATTTGTAAAGGCTTATATAAGCCAAAAAAAAAAAAAAAATTAGTTCAATACCTCTAAACGTTCTTTGAGTTGACCATAGGCAAGAATATTTCAGATTGAGAGATAATAAAGAGAGAAAAAAATTTTATTTTTTGTATTTATATAAGTTTAATTTTTAACATCGTTATAACTTAATAGAAAATAAAATTATTCATTTATTTTTCTTTGAATTTTTTAAATAAAATCAAGGTTTTCTCTCTCTCTCTCTCTTAAAGCCCTTGATGGAAAAATACTTCTGGCAAACAACTAAAGGAGTGAAATTAACTTCTCGTGACTATTTACACACTCGTTATTAAATTCAGGTGGACAAGATTTTTTTTAAATATTTCAAATCGTATTAAAACAAACGGTGTGAAAAAATTGTTTGTCGCACAAAACAAACAAACAAACGAAAAAAAAAAAAAAAAAATTATTTTGCGCGAATATTAAATAAATAAAAAAAACATAAAAACGAGGAGCGTATACGTCACGATTTAATTTGAATTTTACGCGTATAATTAACAATGATTATTATTATTATTATTATTATTATTATTATTAATATTACGTCCTCCATCCAATAAATGACAATGCGAAAAAAAAAAAAAAAACTTTTGACAAGTCATTCTCGAAAGCCTTTAAGGTTTTCCTTCACGTGCCTAAAATTATTTAAAAAAAAAGAAAAAAAATTCAAATCGAATACAAATTTATTATTTATGATTTATAACTATTTATTTATTTATTAATAATAAATAAATAAATAAATATTATTTAATTTTAAAACGCGATCTCGAATGTTTTATTACATAAAAAAAAAAAAAATGGCGGACAGACACATAAAATTTTATTAAAGTGTCGGTCAAAACGGTTATTATTTATACACCATTATTATTATTATTATTATTATTATTATTTTTATTGTTATTAAATTGCAAAGTGTAAAGTTAATTATTATTATTATTATTATTATTATTATGGATTCACGTGGAAAAAAAAAAGTTGTGTGGGACGTTTGACGTATTTTAATATTAGAAAATGTTTACATAAAAAATTTTCTTATTGTTTTTTTGCGTCGGTTTAAAGATGAATTTTGTGGGGGAAGGGGGGGAGGGGAGGGTTTTTTTTTGAAAAAAGTCTTGTCGGATCTATTATATGTTTACCTTCTTTTTTCATTCCCGCTTTAAAACATTTTCTAAGACGACAATATCTACATTGATTTCTTTTATCCTTATCAACGACGCAATTTCTACTAAATCTACACGTGTATTGATGATTTTTCCGAACGGATCTCCGGAAAAATCCTTTACAACCGTCACAAGAAGCAGCTCCATAATGTTTTCCGGTTGCTCTGTCGCCGCATATGGCGCAATTTTGCGTTATTCCTGTCGGAGCGTTGAAATTTTGTAATGATCCCTGAAGTCCCGGTTGAGTTCCTTGCATTTGAAGTTCTGATTCTGTAACCATAATAATAATAAAGTTAATTGAAAATTTTTAATTACGATGACGTGTAGTCATACTTTCCATTGATTTTTTTTTTTTGACATTAACGAGACGGTTGTTAATTAACGTAAAAAGGAAAAATTTAATTTTCCTTTTAAGGTTCGATCGTCATGGAGTTCAAAAAAAAAAAAACCAAATAAAGAAAAGGAGGATCGTTTAAGGTTGGCAAAAAAAAAAGAAAAATTTTTTTTCTTGTTTTTGGCGAGTTTTATAATGTATTGGTTTGGGCCAAGGTTGGTTTATGTAAATTTACTGGATTGGAAAAATTAAAACCTGGATAGAAATACACAAAAATTCCCTTTCCCCCTCCCCCCTCCAGCTTTTTTACTTTCTTTTCAAAGAAATTTATAAATTTT